ATCAAACTTAGGACCGGACTGTTTGGTTCAATCTTTAAACACCATATCAATTTCTTATACAATTGAAAGTCCATTGCAACATGACATGACAACTTCATTTCAGAATTTTCTGGTTATTATCATATGTGTATAAAGTGTGTATGTAATTCACATTGTCTAGTATGTGTTTGTGTGTGTGTGTGTGCATACGTCTGGAAATAGTAGTATCGAATTCTCACACACTGTTGGTCTGAAAGCTCGACCGTAGCTGCTACCTTGACGTGGTGGTCGGGTTTGACTATCGTCATGACCCAGCCGAGCTATAATGGCTGGAACATATGTTCCTGAAGATTCTACCATGCCAGGCAGGTCGATTGGCGAACGATGAGATTAAAAGCAGCTACGCAAGGTCTGAGGGCGAAGTCGTACTGCTGACTGTGATGGAGGGGTGTGACACCAGTAAGGTGTTTCCCTCGGACAACCAGCATCTTCAGCGATGCTGCCTTCTGACAAGGAAGAAAGGGTTAGAAAAGGTCGACCCTGAAAATGTCACACCTCACCCTACGTCACGGATTTCCGTCTCCTTGGGTAAGGGTGCCCACTAAGGGCTTTAAAAGAGCGGAGCTAATACTCATAAAAAGGCCGTGCATGACCGGCCTCAAGCAGTTGTCTGTTGGGCTCTGCGATCACGCACCCAGGTCTCTAAGACCAACACTAATCTATGTTCCTTTTCAGGTTTCTCAAGAAACAACCTTCCACGGTGTGAGCAGCCTGAAAGTGACAACCGCCCTCATACCCGTACCAGCACGCGAGACCAAACTGATCAAAATCAAATTGTTCCTACACCCCCTAGTACCTCTCTGTCTGTCTGCTGCTCTGAATGACTTGAATCTCTCACTTTTTGACTTGTTTTTTGGAGCATAGCCTTATAGACAGTATCACATTAAGGTCGATTGATATTATTATTATTATCATTATTAATAGTAATTAAAACTAATACGGTCCCTCCGCCCCTCCCCCTTGCACACCTTCTTTTCTAGTTTACTACCGCCAAAATCCAATTATCCTCCTAGCACAAATAATTCTACTGCAAAAGTTGATTCAGATGATAAAACCAACGCATATATCATTTCCACTCGACTACCTTCACTTCCATCAGATCCAAATGTAAATAATTCAACATCTGCTGGTACTGCCGCTGGCGCTGCTACTGTTACCACTTCTACTGCCACTCCTCATCCAATGAATAATAATTCATTAATTTCTTCATCAATCATTGAAGGTTATGTAGAAAAAGATGGTTTTCTCTATGATGGTAATCAATCGAAAGGATTTGTTTTGAATCAATTGTCTGCTGCTACTTCACGTTCACGTTCTACTTTAATTTCAGCTTTACAATCTGGTGGTGGTCGTACATCAAGTATGTTTTGTGTTTCTATCTAACATTGGAATTTTTTCAAATTTTTATTTATAAGCAGAGATAGTTGGTTAGCGGTTACCAATCAAGTCCAGGTAGTGCGTTTTGTGTGTAGGATTCGTCAGTTGCACATGTACCATCTACATCTTAGAGTTGATATTCACTCCTAGACTCAAACCTAGTGCCGTTCGCCTCAAATGCCATCGCGTTCTTCACTTACCTAATATGCCTAGACAGCTACCAGTACCTTTTGTATGTGATTCGGTTTAGACAACCCCTAGTAGAGTATGAAGTGTGACTTAACGCTAAGTTATAACCAAAAGTCTGTTGCTGATAAATAAGCAAGGTGTAATGGGAAATATATAAGTCAAAACAATTATTGATTGGTTGATGATGAGAGCTTGCCTTTTATTTCCTTTAAAATATCAATAACTTGTAATCAGGTTCCAGGTGCTATATATAAATTACGTGTACATGACAGGAGAAGGTACTGAGAACACTGTTGATTGATATAAAGAATATAATTGAATGACCATTCATCACTCGGCATAGGAAGTTAATTTTTTTTGATTAACATGAAAGTTTCAGTGAATACATATCAGAACTAGAACAGCTAACCAGCAAAATAACATAAAATTTGGTACCTACGTACATCAGTTCAAGTTGCCAATGAATGAATGCACTTGCACCATTGCAAACAGTTTTTAGACATGTCGTCCAGGGTCTCTAACGATTGGTGACTTTCGTCTCGCGGACCCTAACCAGGTAGTCTACATCTACCAACATGACTCAGTCCACTTATCAGTGACTTCATGGATTTCTGCCGCTAGCTTTCTTCCAACCTATTCTCCTACACCGCAAAACATAGCTCGTCAATGTAGAGTCGGTGCTTAGGCATACATAACACATGTCCCAACCACCTCAACCTAATGAAGTCTCAATAATTCATCTACGAATGTATGTTTAACGCCATAGTATTTAAAATGGAAGGTACTGACTTCGAATCGTAATCTGAATAGCCACACACTGAATTTCATTGTTAACCAAGCCACACTCCATCCTATTATCACGAGGCTTATAGTTTATATCAACATTGAAATTTTAAATGTGTATTCTTCTTCACCATTATTTCCACACTTTTCACCTCTCTCTTTTAGTCAACTCCCGAAGTCGAACTGATGATCGTTTACTTACTAGCAATAATAATAACAATAACAATAATATTCCACGTCCTCTATCACCGAATACTTTGGAAGCTAAAGCTAGAGCTCGATCAATTGCTGCAACAAATGCTGCTAGAGCATCCGTTGCGGCTAGACGTGCACGATTTGAACGTGCTCTGCTGGAACAACGTGTACGCTCATTGAAATCACAATTTTGTTCACGTAAACGTTTAATATTTAATTTGGCTAAATCACTTGCTGATGTAAGTTATTCAATTAATTAATTATTATTATTATTATTATTTTGTGTTATGGTATTATGTAGATCGTTGTTTTTACACACATTGAAATCACCATTAGGAATCTAAAAGGACTGGACGGCCGCTTCATCATGGTATAGGACTACTCATCGGTGGTAGTGCGCATCCACGACTCCTACTGTGGTGTGTGCTACTTATACGAACGATATAAGTAGTAGTATAAGAAGGGACGTGAAAGAAGTCTCACGGTCACAAGAGGAAAACTGAAAGCGAATGGAACAAAAGCAAGAAGTAAATGGAGTAGTACCAACAGGAAGTAAAGGAAGCAACAACAGGAATGGAAGAAGGATGGAGCGTTGGAAGTCACGACTCAAAGATGGTGTGCAAATAGAGTGTATTCAATGTAATGTTTTCGTTTTTAATTGACTCAGAGTGTAAATTTGCATAATACAATCTTCCGCACCTGCCTCAGTCTTCTCAATTGGTGTCGCTGCCTCTACACAGGATGAAGATCCCATGGCCTCGGGAGTTTGAAGACGGAGATGTAAGGAGCTTCTTGAAGGAGTTCGAGGCCGTGGCGGAGCTGGTAGGAGTCAAGGAGCAGAGGGCGAAGGCGGTGGTGTTGGTAACTCTACTAAGAGGCAGGGCGAGAGTGGTGTTCGATGGTGTGGAGGACGCTGACTGGGAGGTGGTGATGGAAAGGCTGCTGGTGGAGTTCGACAGTACGGCGGATAGGCAGGACGCGCTGCAGAAGTTCCGAGAGGCGAGACTGACGGTGGATGGCGACGAGTTGACAAGATTGCTGCGCCGGGGTCTGCCGAATTTGGATGAGGAGTCGCAAGCACAGCTGCTAGCGTCGCAATTCATTGAAAGTGTGCCTGCAGAGGTTGCCCATCAGTTGAGACTGGTTAACGCTGCACAGCCAATGGACGTCACCGAGCTGGCGAAAGTAACAAGACAACTGATGAACTCAACAGTCGCCTCGGCGGCGTGTGAAAGACAGGCTGATGATGTGGCGAAGAAGATAGAAGAGTTACAACGTGAGGTGGCAGCGTTAAGAATAAAGGGTGGAAGAAATAATAAATGCTATATTCGCGGAGGAACCTTGCATTGGAAGAGGAATTGCCCAACAAGACGAACACATTACATTGAACACTCTATTTGCACACCATCTTTGAGTCGTGACTTCCAAAGCTCCATCCTTCTTCCATTCCTGTTGTTGCTTCCTTTCTTTCCTGTTGGTTCTCCATTTACTTCTTGCTTTCGCTCCATTTGCTTTCTGTTTTGCTCTTCTGACCGTGAGACTTCTTTCACGTCCCTTCTTATACTACTTATATCGTTCGTATAAGTAGCACACACCACACTACTACTCGCAGGATTGGGATCGAGAACCTTAGGTCTTGAGCGTACGAACGCTTAACGTCTGGACGGCATCTCACAGTGTTAATGTCTAACTTGTAATCAATCTAAGAATTTTATGCAATCTCACCCATTTGTCTTCGATAGTTACTGCCTACACTGGACAGAGTTGAACTCCGCTGATCACGTGTTCTCACTATCTTAGGAACTTTCTTTGATGTGCATGAATATAAAAACTTAAGTAACATTTTATTTAATTCTATGATCTTATAGACTTTCATCCTTTTAAAAGGTTCCCAAAAACCTCCCTATTAATTTCCTCATAAAGTGTTTCACATCAAAAGAATGTCAGTCAACTAACATAAACAATTATCGCTTTTAATGGCTAGGTGATTTACAAGATGTTATTTAAAAGTTACAATTAATTCATATATATAAATATATATATATATATATATATATATATATATAGAAGGAGAACTAAACATAGCTTGATATGAAAAGAATTATATTCGGTCACTACTCATTAGTAATGCAATAATGATCAGGCAATTGTCAATTCATTCACAGTTTAGCAGTGGTTTCTTATGATATCAGTGTTATTTCTTTATATTTTTTTCTATGCGCTACTACTGATATTGAACTATGTAACATAATTGAACATTAATTTACTTGTAAGGGTTTGAAAATGCACACCCTAAACGTCAATCAGTCAAGAACAATGTGGAACTTCGTATGTACGTAAGTACGTACGTACATTTCAGTTCCAGTTGCCATACCACATTCCCATACATAGAGAGATACAACTGTCAGTTCAAATCCCATCGTAGTAGAGGTAGTAGAAGTATGAGTAGTAATCGTAGAGATTAGGGTTTGAAGATGTTATTCAAGGAGTATGATCTAGTGAAATAACTGCTAAAACTGGACCATCATCCTTCAGAATCTCAGTAGTAAACCTATCAGAGCCTGCTGCTCTCCTTCCCCGTACACTTCCTATATCCTTGTCGATTTCATTAGGTGCTGGAGGACATACACCAACTTGCCACTCAGGTTGACTACATCCTAAAAACAAATGACTATGTTTACTTAATTAATAAGTCGAGATTTTTAAAAAAAACGAGTTCCACTACTAATCACAACTAATCATCGCATGCGCCCCAAACCAAGTGATTTGTATTTACCATTTGTCCGGATATTCTTAAAATGACCCCCTATTTTCTCGTTCGACATACTCTAGTTCTATTCCGCTGACAAAATGCAGAGTCTTCTGACTACCCTAAGCAACAATGCATGCATGTTCGGGATGCGGTTTTCCCCCTCGAAATGCAAAATGTTGCTTCAAGACTGGGTTGCATTGGCACCTGAACTAATGATAGGGAGTGAACTGGTCGAACGTGTAGACCGCTTCACTTATCTTGGGAGTCTCATCAGTGCTGATGGCCTGGTGACTGACTAAATCTCAGCACGGATACAGAAGGCTCGATTGGCTTTTGCCAACCTGCGTCGTTTATGGCGAAGGCGAGATATCCGTTTGCTGACTAAAGAACGAGTGGACTGAATCATGTTGGTAGATGTAGACTATCTGGTTGAGGGTCCGCGAGACGAAAGTCACCAATCGTTAGAGACCTAGAACGACATGGCTCAGAATCGTTTGCAATGGCGCAGGTGCATCCACTCTTTGTGTTCTCTCTAATTCTAACCTTCTGAATTCCTCATAATCTCTGTCTTCTCCATTGCTGCTAATGCTCCTACTATCGCTATCACTCTTGGAATTGAACTGACAGTTGCGTCTCTGTGCTAATGTGGTATGGCAACCTGAACTGATGTACTTACGTATGAAGTTCTGCGTTGTATCTGTCTGTCTGTCTATTCCAACTTATCCATACCCCCATCTAACATCATTATCATGGTAGGTAGGTAGTCAGGCATACCGAAACAAACCTCCACTTCATATTTACAACCTCATTCATACTTTAAACATGTCTATTATTAAAAATTTTGCTGCCTGTATGCTTGCTTTGTATCACTATTCATTTGTTAAAACTAATCTCATTTTCTATCATAACACACACCATTAGATTGCTGTCAATGAAATTAAAGGAGCTCAACAAATCAACAAAGCAGAGAAATCTAATGAAAACTCTGCCAACAAAACATTGGAACAATCCACATCATCAACGCATCATCATCATCATCAAACAGACGAAAAATTAATTCACCAGAAAAATCGATTGAATAAATCATCATCAACATCATCGTCTTCAATATTAGGACAGAAAAAGAAAATTGGACGTCCATCTAAAAGCAACAGTATCATTGCTACTACTACTACTACTACTACTACTACTACTACTACTACTACTACAAATAGTAGTAACAAAAAGAATGATGTTTATCATAAACGAACAAAACGAAAAATCATCAGTCCAACACGTTCGTCGTCACCGTCAGCATCCCCATCCCCGTCATCATCATCTGCATCACATTCTAGTGATGATGAAAATAAAAATCCTAATTTAATTGATAAACATTCGAAAAAGAAAACGAAGAAGAAGAGGCAGAATATTGACAATAAAACCAATTGGACATTAAACACTGATAATCAATTATTGGCCAATAATCGTATTCCACGTAAAAGTGCATTAAATCATGAATTTATTAAATCTACACCGAAACATCATCAACAAGAGCAACATAACACTCCAACTCTTCTAATGAAAATGTCAAAATCAATACAGTCCAGCAAGAAAAAAGTTGATTTAACAACACCAACAACTGGTAAACATCGTTTCACAATGAAACAATCAAATAAATTATTGACAGTTAATCACAAACATGATCATGACGATGATGGTGATGAGGATGATGACGTTGATAGTCACACAATGACTGGTAGTTCTTGTTCAACTCCAAGTACATCACCTGGCCTGGGGGATAATTATTATGAGGAAGAAGAGAATAGTAGTCATTGGCGACGAAAATCAACGGTTAGTTCTTGTGAATAATAACTTTTATAATAATGTATTCATTTGTGTTTTTTCTTTGTTGCTATGATTGTCTCATGTTTTGTTTACGGGTAGGAAGGTCACTTTCCCGGCTGTTCACGTCGTGAAAGGATGTTTCTTGAGGAACCCAATAAGGAAGGTAGATTATTTTGGGGCAGAGTTTTGGAGGTCTGTGTTTTTTTACACATTTGAAATCATCAACCAATCATTGTTAGACCTGGAAGCACAGGACGGCCGTTTCGTCCTAGTGTATGGGACTACTGATCAGTAGCAGTGCGCATCCATGATTCCTGCACCTCGCACAGGATTCGAACCTAGGACTTTCGGTATTGTGCGCGAATGCCTAACCATCGGACCACTGGGCTGGCATCATGAATTGATCATTGTTGCACCGCGATTAGAAAGTTGGAAGTACTGGAATACAGTCATTTTGGTGGCTTAGTATAGGACTCATCAGTAGTGTGTATCCAACGATTTATGATTTCAATGAAACTCAACAATCATCACAACTTTATAATGAAAATCGTAAATTGTGCTCACGAGTGGTTAACTTCATGTGGGAATTCTTGTAGTTCTAGTGAGAAGCTGTGACTAGTGTAATTTAATAGTTTCAGGTGTGAACCAGTTATCCACCGGAGTGGTGGTGAGGTTACACGATACTTTGAATTGATTAATGTTAGACACTAACACCGCTAGATGCCGTCTCAATGGTTAAGCCTTAGCACCAGAGATTGAATGTCTAGGGTCCGATTCCTGCCTTTCGGTTGGACGGCCGTTTCGTCTTGGTATGGGACTACTCATCAGTAGAAGTGCGCATCCACGACTCCTGCACCTCACACAGCACTCAAACCCGGGACTTTTGTTATTGTGCGCGAACGCCTAACCATCTGATCACTGGTCCGGCATCCAACGGTGTTAATGTCTAACCTAACTCGGATTGATCTAGTGTGACCTCAGGGCCCAAAGAACAACTGCTTGAGGCCGGTCATTCACGAACTTTTTATGGTATGTTTTGGAAGTGTTAGATCTACTCTTCAAAGTATTTGATTATAGATGTCTTCAAAGCATTGCTCGTTTATCACAGGACAACAGAGTGCGCAATGCTGTTGTTAGGGAACGAGTACTAAGTAAGGATAGCAAATCAATAGATGAAGTATTGACACTTCATCAGTGAAGGTGGCTGAGACATGTGTTACGTAGGCGCCCAACTGCCGAATGACTCAACGAGCTATGTTTTCTGGTGTCGAAGTAGGTTAGAAGAAAGTTAGGTGCGGTCAAACCAAAATATAACACTAGTCCATGAAGTCACTGACAATTGAACTGAGCCATTTTGGTTGGATGTCGACTACTTGTTTGGGTTCCACGAGATGATAGTTACTGATGGTTAGGGAACTTGAACGACATAGCTGAAAATCGTTTGCAGTAGCACAGGTGCACTCATTCTTTGTGATCTCTTCAATCCTAATCCTTTGGATTCTTCATCACCTTTATCTTTGTCTTTTTAAGTTTATTTCACCGAATTTTACTTTTTGAATATTATCTTTGAACCCTAATCTTCTTAATTACCGCTAATACTTCCACTACTTTTGTAGTGATGGAAAACACAGGTGAGGACAACCGAAATTTATTTAACGAAAATTACAGAGTTACTCAGTAAAATAGGAAAACCATATCGTAACCGTTAATTTGCAAATCTTCAATCAATCATCAATCCATTGTCTGACATTTCATTTATTCATGCGTTTCATACACATTCCATTGTGTTCCCACTCTTCTTCCTTTCTCTTGATCTTCCCTCATCTTCTGTTGCTAGACATTATGTTGACACTCACGTCATATACTACTTATAAGTAGCGCGCACCACACCTTTACTACTATGAGATTTGAATTGACAATCGCGTCTCTGTGCTTATGTGTTATGGTAATTTGAACTGTGATGTACGTACGTACGTACGTACGAAGTTCTTCTATGTTGTAACTGACTGACTGACTGACAGATGTTATTACAATCGTATGATTATAATTCTCCTTATA